TCTATCTATGCACCTCATAATTTTATAAACTTCTTTCAAGTCTCCCCCCAGCCTGTGCCGGTCCAAAGAAAACAACCAGAGTTTTTCTCGCCTCTCCTTGTAGCTCACACCCTCTCATACAAGCAACATCCTGGTAAACCTCTTCTGCACCCTCTCCAAAGCCTCCATATCCTTTTGTAATGTGGCGACCAGAATTGAAAGCAATGCTCTGAATGTGACTTAACCAAAGTCTTATAAAGCTGCAACGTGACATCCTGACCCTTGTACTCAGTTCCCCGACCAATAAAGGCAAGCATGCCATTCACTGCCTTAATCACACTATCTAATTGCGTGGCTACTTTTGGGGAGCTATGGACTTGAACTCCAAGATCCCTCTGTACATCAATGTTGTTCAGAGTACTGCCATTAACTGTATACTTTTCCTTAATATTTGATCTCCCAAAGTGCAGCACCTCACACTTGCCTGGATTAAATTCCATCTGCCATTTCTCCGCCCATATCTGCAACTGACCTGTATCCCGTTATATCCTTTGACAACATTCTACACTACCCACAACTCTACCAATCTTTGTATCGTCTGCAAACTTACTAACCCACCCATCTATATTTCTTCTAAGTCATTTATATATCATAAACAGCAGAGGTACCAGTATGGAACCCTGCGGAACACCACTAGTCATGGACCTCCAGCCTGAAAAACACCCTTCCACCACTACCCTCTGTCTTCTATGGGCAAGCCAATTCTGAATCCACGTGGTTCTCATGGGTCTTAATCTTCTAGATGAGCCTACCATGAGGGACCTTGACGAAAGCCTTTAGCTAGTATGTAGCCAACAAGGCACAGACTGTACCGGACCTGATATTTGGAACTTAAATTTCTGGGAACATAGGTTTGAATTCCACAATAGCAGATGTGAAGTTTGAATTCAATACATATCGGGGAGAAAAATCCAAAGGTGACTGCTGCTAACTGTTGTAAGAACCCATCTAGTAGACTAATGTCCTTTAGGGAAGAAAACCTACCATCCTTACCTTGGTCTGGCCTGCAGTTGCCTCTTAAAAGCACTCTGGTCATTTAAGGATGGGCAATAAATACTAGCCTAGTCATTGACAGCCAAGTCCCATGAACAAATAAAAAATGTACTCTAACTTTTATCTTTCTTTGAGAGGTATCACTGTCTGAGCAACTGATTAGATTTGGCTGAGAGAAATATGGTAAGAGATTGAGTTCCATCAGAGTTTCATCTGGAATATAGCACACCTGTTACAGAGAAAACAAAGCATGTGACTGACAAATAGTAAGTTACAGTCGAGATTGGATAAGATGTCTGCCTGTATGAACAACCTTTTTCTCTTTTACCACTCCTCCTCTTGGTGTCCCATGTCTTCTCGATTTCTCTCAACACTTGAGAGTGTTGGACCAGAGATTTCCTGTAGAGTTTTTTTCCACTGTCTGCTGTGCTAGGGTCTGTGAACATTTCTTTCTTTAAACTCTTCCAAGATGGATATCTGGCTAGAGTATTGATCAGGTCACCTTGCTCTATGATGTACTTTGAACAAAGTGTCCCATAAAATTTTGCATTCTTTGTCTAAACCTTATCTTCAATAGCCTGACTTGAATGACATTTATTTGCCATTAGCTTCTTCTGCCTTTACACATGTCTTCTGGCTTTGATCAATCGGTTGTACGTCATCTTTTCTTTATCCCATCTCAAACTGCCTCCTGATCTGTTAGCCTCAGCAACATTCAGACTAGTTGTCAAACACAACATATTTATACAGCATGTACAGGATACGTAATAGTCCAAAGAGCATTGCAAATACACACAAAGAAACGCAGATACTAACCAAAGAGCATGTTAGGATAGATAGGACAAAAACTTTATTAAAAATGTGCCTTTTATTCAGGCATTTAAAAGAGGAGAGCAGCAAGGAGGCACAGAAGTTTAGAGAGGGAATTCCACAGCTTAGAGACCAAGCTGCAATCAACAATGCTATAATGCACGTCTTCTGTTTCTCTCTTCAAACAAACTATTCAAATTAAAATGTCTTGTCCTGAAACAAACAGAGCACCATCTATATGATACACATGAAAGAATGAACAGACTGGACATGATACTAATTAACATAAGTTTTAAAATTTGCAATATCATGAACACACTTGATAACGTAGATAGGGAGAAACAGTTTCTGCTTCTAAAAGGAAGCACAAGCGAGCTTAGGTTTAAAGTGATCTACAAAAGAAGCAAGGCTGAAGGGAGGAAAAACCTTTTCACACAGTGAGCAGTGGAATGCACTGCCTTGAAGTGTGGAGGAGGCAGGTTATATATATTCCCCAAAAGTGATCAGATCGATTTAATTCAGACCAGATAGATATTATATGTATTATTAGAGAATCACAGGAGGCCATTCGACCCACTTTGCCTGCACCAGCTGGTTAAATAAGCATCACTACCCAGTGCCAGTCTCCTCTACACTGTTATCCATTATTTTTATCCAAATAATTATTCAATGCCTTCATGAATGCCTCAATTGAACCTGCCTCCTTCAAACTTCCAGGCAGTGCATTTCAGGCCCTAACTACTCGCTGTTTGAAAAGGTTTTTCCTCCCTTTGCCCTTGCTTCTTTTGTAGATCACTTTAAACCTAAGCTCATTTGTGCTTCCTTTTATAAGCAGAAATGGTTTCTCCCTATCTACTTTACCCAGCATGCTCATGATATTGAAAATCTTGAAATTTATATTAATGGTGTATTATTCCAGTTCATATAGGTAGTGATAGCAAGAACTGCAGATGCTGGAGTTGGAGGTAACAGTGTGGAGCTGGAGGAATGCAGCAGGCCAGGCAGCATCAGAGAAATTCCTCTGCTGCTGGCCTGCTGTGCTTCTCCAACTCCATACTGTGTTACAATATAGGTAGTTCTGTTTCTTTCAGGACAGGACATTTTAGTTTGAATAGTTTGTTTGAAGAGAGAAACAGAAGATGTGCATTATAGCATGTACTTAATCATAATAGAGATGTGTGTCACACATTTTTAGTTGGATTGAGTATGATCCTCATTCTGTATGGCACTGTTGTCTCAGATGTGACTTGTAGGCCAAATGCTTTCAGCTGATTTGAAAACCTGGGTATCTTTGCTTTGAGGAATTTTGTGGATTATAATGCTCAAATCCACAGTTGGACTCGAACTGTTCTGCTCTATTGAAGGCAATTACTTCTAAAATTGGTAAGGTCAAAGATTTTGGTTTCTATATGTGAGAAAACAGAAGCAGGTGGTAATGTTGTAACATAGAATAAAGCACTGACGCTCTTAAATGAGAGCATGTATTTTTTCCTCCTTTTATTTTTCTTGGAGGGGGTAAAATCCTGCTGGAGTCATAAATAAATATCAGCCCAATTGGCCATTCTCCATGAGCCTAAACGCTGAATGTTGCAGTCTGTTTGTCCCAGAGGCATTATTGCTGAACACAGTTCAGTTCACATTTGATATTTGTTATCCAAATCTAATGTAATTTCGCTTTGTTAACCTCCTTTTATCAAACATGACCCTGAAATTCCACTGTGGTGCCATTGCACTTGTGTGGAGTAACAATGGGAAACATGTAGAACCTCTAGATTTTCAGGCCCATCAGCTTAATTATAACTAAAACATATTGAGTTTAACCCAGAACAGTTTTGTTCATAATGTTACAATTTGCCAGTTTTATTGCAAAAAAAATTTGGAAGTTTGTGTCAGATAAATAAATCTGTTTAATTCTAGTTCCACAAAATTATTTGACAGCTCATATTAATAATTTATACAGTCAGAGTACAGTAAGATCTGATATTTAGCGTGTTCTATTTCACTATGTAAAAGTTGCTCTTTTTGAAAATATTGGTACAATCCTTCTATTCCCAATTTTCCTTCCCCTTCTTGAAGATGATGATTCATCCAAAATTTAGTCTCATGGATGCCAGGAGTCCTCTGATACGTAAATCAGTTGATCATTCTTCATCTCTGTGCTTCTTGAGTGTATAATTTGGCTGTTTTACTGTGTTGGCACTGTTAACTCAGCACCTGATCCTGGAGTGTTCACTCACTAAACTGCTTTACATTAGGAAACCTGCTACATTAAACTCCACCAAACGCCAACACTACCACCCATGCTCATCACAATGCTCCCCAACCTCCCTCAATTCTATCCCTGAGGTCATTTCACTGCAAAGTGGCAAATGATGAGGATCATGGATAAAACCTTGGACATTCCAGGTCTGTGTGATTCATCAACATACAACAGAAAAAGCGTTTCTATACATTGAAAAAATGTTAATCATTAGAAAAAAATATTTACATTTATTTTTGAATAAATACATTAAAATACTTTCACTCTGAACAAGCAGCTATATATTATAAAGTAAATAAGCAAAATCTGTGGATAATAAAGCGGTATATGCCAGTGATGAAATGGAAGTAAGAGTGGTACTATTATGAAATCTAGAAACAAAGGAATAGACAATTATTATAATTTCAAGCGTTGGTTTGAAAATGTGGAAGATTGCAGTCTCTAAATAGGTGGAAAATAGTGAGCATGGTTAAAGAATGATCCCATGTTATCAAAATCTACTTCTTGCTTTGTCATATTTTCTACAAAGATGTTCATAGAGAAAAGAGCATAACTGTGTCACATGGATTGAATAGCTTTTTTGCTGATGAAAAACGATAACATGTTTTGTTTTCATGAGCTTAAAAAGTTACAAAAAAGCTGCATTTATTTCAGATACATTATGTGTCATCACACCTGTGTGGTGCCGTATAAGCCATATTTATATGGTAATAGTGGTGACTCAAGGACACGTGTTAACTGTAGGATGATAAACATCGATGGCACTACTGTACTTGTGTGAATTTTAGTACCAAATCATTTCTTCATGAAGGTGCATTGTTTGTCAGTTAAGAAACATTTTAAGAAAACTTGGTTTGATTCATTACTCTGAGTTGATTTTTTTCTCAATTAGTGTAAATCATGAAGGGCTAATTAAAAACCCTGAGAAGGATGACTGTTTCTCATCAGATGAATATAAACCATTAGCTTCCTCTGAAGGTAATAGTATGTAGACTTGGTCATTTTCATGTAGGTGTACTATAGCACTTCCTGAGGCCTGATCTACGTATCCTTTCGTATAATCATCATATGTTTGCAGTATGGATTTTCCGTTTTTATATAATGAAACCCAAACACTCCTCCCCTTGATTTGTACATGGTAACTAAATTGATAAAGCCCTGGTACTTCACATGTAAAAACACCAGATGATGGATCATAATTATTATTTGAATTGGTCACTAGAATGTCAAATATTATTGGTTGCCCTACTGGTGGATATGGCCTAGAAAGAATGGCTGTAAAAGCTGGAATAGGGCTCAGCAATCCAGGTGGTGGCTGTACCGATTTCTCTGGTTGTACAAAGATTTCACCAGGTAAACCTGGTGGACCAGGAAGGCCTGGTGGACCTGGAGCACCTTCCGCACCCGTTTGTCCTGGTGCGCCTGGTGGCCCCTTTGTTATTTCTCTGCTAATGAGACCCGGAGGACCTGGTAATCCTGGTTTTCCTGGAGTACCATTTAGTCCAGGAGGCCCTTGTGGGCCTGGCAACCCAGGCAAGCCTTTATGACCAGGCACTCCGGGTGCCCCTCGCAATCCAACTGCTCCTGGAAAACCTAATGGACCTTGAGGACCAGGAGGACCAGGATTTCCAGGTTTCCCAGCTGGGCCAGTGAGACCAATATCCCCTTTTTGACCAGCTGGTCCAACTGTTCCTGGTAGTCCTGGTGAGCCTGATTTCCCAGGAGACCCTGATATTCCTGGAACACCAGTTACCCCTCTCTCACCCTTTGATCCAGGATATCCTTGTGCACCCATGTGTCCTGGTGCACCTTTTTCTCCTGGTGTGCCAGGAATTCCTTGTAAACCTCTAGGGCCTTGTGCTCCTGGAAGACCAGCTGGTCCCATCAAACCAGGGTCTCCTGACTTGCCGATGGGTCCCATCTCTCCTTTCTTTCCAGGATATCCAGGATAACCTACTGGGCCAGGTTCTCCTTTCAGCCCTGGCATGCCTGGTTTTCCAATACCTGGCAGTCCTGGTGCCCCTGGCAAACCTTGTATGCCAGGATGACCTTTCAAACCAGGGGGCCCTTGCAATCCTGGTACACCTGCAGCTCCAGGCTTTCCTATTCCTGTTGGTCCAGGTAGTCCTGGTGGCCCTTTATGACCTGGTGCTCCAGTAAAACCCGATGGGCCTGGTGGTCCCATTTCACCTTTTTTACCTGGTTCACCAGGAAGTCCAGGTGCACCTGATGTAGTTAATCCTGCTGGTCCTGGAGTTCCTGGTGCCCCTGGTGGCCCAGGCAGCCCTCTTTCACCTGAAATCCCTGGAATTCCAATTCCTTTATCCCCCTTTTGACCAGGGAGGCCTGGATAACCTGGGTGTCCCTTTGCTCCAGGTAATCCTGGTACTCCTGGAGGTCCTAATGCCCCTTGTGGGCCTGGTTTACCAACAACAGACAATCCAGCTGGTCCGGGATTTCCTGGAGGACCTGGACTACCCCTTTGCCCTTGTATCCCTTGAATTCCTTTATCGCCTTTTTGTCCAGGATACCCTATCCTCCCTGCAGGCCCTGGTGCTCCTGGAATGCCTGGAGTTCCCTTCACAGTTAGTCCTTGTGGCCCTGGTTGTCCCGGACTGCCAGGGGGTCCCATCAACCCAACACCTGGCTTTCCTGGATACCCAGCTTGCCCTGGGGGTCCGGGGGGTCCTGGAGGTCCTGGTGGTCCAGGCATTCCTGGATCTCCTCTCACTGTGAAAGTAGAAATATATATCTTAGATTCCAGAAGTACTGATACGTTAAATACATGGCAATTTTGATGGACATATTGTATTGAAATGAGAATAATAATCAATGGACAACAATAATTAAAAGAAGTTTTGTACTTAAATGGGTAAGATGGTCTTGGCCATTGTTGTAAATTAAAAATACTTCCATTCTACTAGCTTGACGAGAGAAAATTGATGTACAGGTATTAGAATCATCATTTCTAAGAGCGCAGATATGTTGCAGTGGGTTTTTCAATAGCTTTTGCCGAAAAGTGACTGAGCATTGTAATTATACAGTGATGATATTGTGCCCATAACACTAAAATATTAAAAGGTACTTCAGATAGGTACTCTAAAGCAAAATACAACCTGAGCCACATATGGAGATATTAGCGCAGAGGAGCAAAAACTTAAAGTTGTAGGTTTTAAGGAGTTCTTAAAGGAGGAAAGTGAGATGGAGGCAGTGTGATTTATGGAGGGAATTCCACACCTTGGATCAACACAGATGAAAGGACATATACCAGTCCTGGACTGAATTAAAGTTAGAAGTGCGGGCATCTTAAAATATAGGGCTGAGGGAGATTAAGAATGTAGGAAGGCCAGTGAATTATTTGAAAACAAAGATGAGAATGTTAAAGTTGAGTTGATGCTTACCCACTGGCACAAGGTTGGGTGGGTAGGAGGGAGTGTGGTGGTGGGCAGGGGTGCGGTTTGACAGTAGAGGATGGAAGTACAGGTAATGTAGGTCAGTGAGCAAAGGTCAGTGATGTTGGTGGTCATAATGAACAGCATTTGGTGATAGTTAGGATACTGAAGGGCTCCAGTGTTACTTTTTTCCCCCGACATTACATTAGTGTGGTGATGTGAGAAGTAAGGCACCAGATAAGAATGGAACAAGGCAAAACCAGCCCGAAAGGTTGAGGAAATTCAATTGCAACTACATTTGGCAGAAATGGATTTTCCACAACCATTTGGGATTGTTGCAAAAAACATCACTTCAGAAACCGATTCTGAAACCAGATCAGATCATTGAGTTTCTGCTAGTTGTGATTGTATGTGGACATTGAGGCTGTCAAATTAAGCATTATTTTATCAGTAAGACCCAATTGGCACATTTTGAATGCTTTTACATTTTTTTTTAGAACTAAGAGATTCACTACTATCAGTGTATCCAGTGAATTGTTCTATGTATTGTTAATTTGTATGTTTATTTAAAATAATTTTTCAAATTGTAAACTTCAGATTAATGACAGATGGTGAGGCATTTTGATTTCAATGCTTTTTTGTAACAAAGCTATTTTCAGTTGTATGAAAATTTGTATCATATTACACACTTACTTCTGTCAAGACATTTTTTATACAAACGTTTTAAACAAAAGTCCATTCTGAAACGTTTAGCTGGTTATTGCAAGATTTAAAAAAAACTAATCATATGCAAATTAGTTTAACAGGAAATTTAAACAAACTGCATATCTCAAAACTAATTCAAGTTAGTTTGCAAGTGAGTTTGACCCTGTGTTACGTTTATGCCCGAGGTGGAAAGCCTTGGCTGAGCACATTTAGTATGCTTAACCAATTTAGGCTCTGACTGAAGATTATCATGAAAAATGTTCATTTTAAAAATGCAGTTATTAATATTTATACCATGAAATGACTACTCTTCAATTGACAAATCTACATTTGAATCCGGAAAACTATTTGTTAAAGAGCAACTTTTAGCATTTATGTTTCTATGGATTGATAGCTGTTGGCCATTTATAAATTGTGAAAGTTCTTGCATTTATCACGCAGTCATATAATGCATGCTGTCATTTCAAAATAACAACATTTCTGATGTTAATGGTTTCAATTGGATATTCATGGTTAAATGAATCCTAATATTCTTCGTTAAATGGAAAATCATATATATTGGCCATAAATACTGGTGGAAACAATTTCAATGTTAAGAGTATTGAATCATTGATAATGTCCAATTTAGTTCAAAAATTCAGGTAATATTGAATTGATTCTACCGTCGGGAAAGCATGGAATTGCAGCTATAATAACTTTCTGTTTAAAATTAACATGGTCTTTTTTTATGTATTTAAGAATTATTTCAACAAATCCATTTTTGCTCATTTTCATTCTGTATTAAATATATTCTCTATTAAAACTCAAATTTGATGAAATGTTAAACAATGTGGGAAGAATACCCTTCCGATCCACTCTTCACATATTCACATGTTTTTCTAAGATCAGCATAATTTTATAATGGAAGTTAAGCATCCAATGTGAAAAATGCCCACAATTTAGCATTTGCAGCCTGCAGCTTTGTGGTTTGGAAGGCAGCACTATTGTTTAGAAACATGTCTACTGCTACTTCAAGAGCACATAGAACACCCTGTTTCTTCAGTTAGTCCTTAGGAAATTTGGTGGGTGAAGTGAGACACTGGAGGACTCTATTTGCGATAGTTTGTTGTAGGTTCCAGAGGCGAGCTGCCAACCAATGTGAATGTCATAACTACATACCACATACCTGGAGGCAATGTGGCAACAAGGTCAGCCAAAGGAAAGAAACCTGCTTCCATTTGTTAATTTCATGTGTACAAAGCATCTATACCAATTGAAATTTTGTATCCTTTTAACACTGTTTTTAACTGTGCTGTGGATGCCCATTATGTATAGGGCAAACTTAACACCAGCAGCTTCCTTCTGTAAGTTTTCCTTCACATGCACCTTGGAATGCATTCCAGCCAAAGCAGTCCTCCAATCAAAGATATTGCTATGACTTTGCTTGTTCTGGAATTAATGGACAAAATCAGTGAGACTACGTTACAGATCATACTGTGGCCATTGTTCACCTGCAGTGATGAGGTTCCAGTCAAGTGAGTGGAATTCAGTGTTTTTTTAACAATTTCATCACACCCTTGGCTTGTGCCACATAGCTGTGGGAGAGCCTTTGAGGGTGCAGAAAGTGAGCCATTCTTATCGTTAAATTGTTGGTACGCCTGGTTCAGTTATGTGTCTGGTTACTGGTAACTCCAGAGCTTTAATTATGTCTTGATATCCTTCCATCTACGAGTAATGATGGACATCTAGCAAACACTTGATTTAGGTGGTGTGTCTTCATTTGGTGTACCTTGGCTGATGGCTGAAGAAACTAATCTTTGAGAGGCAGACTAGATAAAAAAATTGGCAAGGCATGTTTTGTGTTCTTGTTTTCAGCAATGCAACTGCAATGATTGTTGGTTGTGGTGGTTCACTTGAGTCTGCAAGAGGTTGACGTGATTTTTTTGCCCGCTACTGACTTCTGTGTGCGAAGCTCAATATTTAGAGCCTTCATGTCACACTTGCAAGTATCCTTGAGGCAGAACCTTGGTTGTCTTGCTGGTCATCTGGCCCCAGTCATATCAACACACAAAGTCTTTGAGTTTGTGATTGTCTTATATCCTTGTGCAGTGTCCATTCCCACCTCCCCCCCCACCCCCCCACAAAAAAAAAAAGCTGCCTCTGTTTAATTACTGCCAACGCATTAGGGAGTCGTGCCTTTAAGAAATCCAATTCATTCATGATTTTGTTCTGGCGGATATTAACTGTGATACACTGCAGACAGAAGGTGGAAATGATTGGGCTGCTTGTCCTGGCAACTCTAAGTTACTCATGCCATACAGTTAGCTGCTGAGAGCAAAAAGACCTTATAAACCAATGACTTGGTCCTCAAGTTCAAGTTGAAGTTACCCAATTTGCATCTTGCGAGTTGGCCAAAGCTATTCACTGTTCTCATTGTGCATGTTTTGAGGTCTGCATCAAGAAGCAGATTGTATGTCACCATAACCCCAAGGTCCCAGAATTTCATAACTGCTTACAATGGGGTGTTATTTATTGCGAAATGGGGTGGAGATTCAATATCTTGTTCTCGGCCACAGTTTCTCGAGCACATATAATGAGAGAGTACAAGTTCTAGGCATGGGAAAGACAATTCATAACTCTTTGTAGATTTTGAGAAGTTGTGATGATGGTGCCATTCAAAGTCAGGGAGATTATTGTTCAGTTTGTTTTTAATCACGGGAGACAGTCAATGCCAGACACTTAAGTGACATGAAAGCAATAAATGCTGGATAAATTCAGCAGCTCATGAAAGATCACAAACGTCAAGCATTAGACTCTGTATCTCTCGCGACATCTACCAGATATTTCCAGCATTTTCCGCTTTTACTTCAGATTTCCAACAGTTATAGCATTTTGCTTTTGACATGAATGTTACCTGCAGTAATCTGTCCTGCGATTGGATGGTGTCCATTTGCTGCTTTTCACTGCTTGAGTTGCTTCCATGTTGAAGGACATGTGATGGAACTGACTTCTGTAGAAATGTCAGCAAACAACTGAACGCCTTGACCGTGGCAGACATAAGATCATTTTAAGTAGCTGTAGTTGGTTGAGTTAAGGACGTTACCTCGACAAACTCCTGCAGTGAATTCCCAAAACTGTGATGGTTATTTGCTGACAACACAAGCATATTTCTTTCAGTTGTATGAGATTCCAGTCTCTGGTGATTTTCTTTTCATTAACCTCAATTTGCATCAGTCTCTCTTTGGGGAGTTCAGTGTCTTGCATTGCCAGCTGCTTTCTTACTTTGGGGGGCAGCTATTCTTATGTCTCCTCTGATGTTGCTTTTGTTTCCATATCTGGCTCAAGGCTGTGATGATATCTGGTGCCAAGCAGTTCTGGCAAAACCTGAACAGATGTGTCAGTAAGCAAATTACTGGTGAGTCAGCTCGCCATAAGTACACAGCTCGGCAGGATGTTTATTCAGTGTTGCAGCACACCACGGAGTGTATGGATTCACCAATGCCAGAGGATCGAAGGACAGTCTGAGATTCTCCCACAAATGTTTAAACATTCCTCACCCCCTACTTTGAATTCAGAGGTGACAAAAACATTGATGAACATTTCAGTAACATCAGAGCTGAGGTAAGGTGCAAGAGAAGGTGATGTTGTAGAGGTGGAAGTGAGTGGTCAGGATGATGGATTATGGTTTGGAGTTTGAAACTCAGCTCTGGGTCAAACAGGATGCCAAGGTTATTAAACTGTCTGGTTCCGCCTCAGAGTCTGGCCAGTGGGTTATGGAATTTGTAGTAACAGAGACTAGTTTTATAGCAGTGGCTGAACAGTCGATGTCCTCAGTAGTCTCAGTGTTCAATTAATGAATATTTTGACCTTTCCACAATTTGATGTCAAACAAGTGGTCTTAACAGCATAAACGTAATGATGTGGTTCAGACAAGTGGTGGGCAGATTATTAAATATGTTGTCCGCATTCACACAAGCTGATGATGTCCATCCCTGTGAATAATGTCCTGGAGTTGCATATACATGGATGTAAGTGGATGGGAAAGGAGCCAATGTGTGACATTCTTGGGGAATCCTAGGTCAGGTATGGTAGCAAGAGAGATGCTCCTGCAAATGAGATGATTGCGTCTGAAACAGGTGGAAATGAAATAGCACAGGTGCAATCACATAGCATTGGAAACAGATGATAGGCAATGGAGGACGATAGCACATTTGACTGTCAACAATCACGTTTTCCTTGAAGAAAAGAAGGCTGAGAAGAAATCAGATTGAAGTATTCAAAATCATGAGAGGTCTGTACAGAGTAATAGGAAGAAAATGTTCCTAATCAGGAAATGATCAAAATCAAGAGGGAACAGAAAAAAACAGAAGTAAGATGAGGAAAATAAATTTCATGCAAAGAGTGATTAGATCCTGGAAACCACTGCCAAAGAGTAGAGTGGAGGCAGTTAAATTGGATGGTTACTTGTTTAAGGAACAATGTGCGGTATACAAGGAGAAGGCAGGAGAACGGCTCTAAGTGAGCTGTTCATTTGGAGCGCCAGCATGTACATCAAGAACTAAGTGGCCTCTTTCGGTGCTGTTAAATTTTTGCAATTCAGTAAAGAGCTGGGGAGGACAACACAAAATAATGAACCACAGTTATGAAGAATGTCACTTATGATTTTAGCTAGGGCAGATTTCATTTTCAGCTGGTACCCTGGGAAACTCTGAAGGAGTCATGAATTGCAGTCCTAGAGGATAACTTTTTTTAACCTAAGAGCCGTGTTGGCATTTGTCTTTGTAGTGGTACCTTAGAATGCCTTAAAGTAAAAAGAATTTGGCAGCTGTAGCATGAAAACTGTCTTTCTTCAGACTCCAATAAACAAGCTGAACGTTAAGGGTGGAGCAAATAAGATCTTTAGTTTAATCCATAGCCATTATCCTTGGGCCTTTGGATATCCAGTTGCTTTTTGTCAAAACTGCAAAGCTCTGATGGTTGCTTACAGGTAAGGTGAAATTGCCCCTTGAATAAACAGGGTACTGGCCCCACACTTTACATATGTGTACGATGGATTGCCAGTTACAATTGATGTTGCTGGTGGGTGGGTCCTTTGAAAGATTTAGAGATATGCCTGTGGACAAGGCGCGGCTCAGATCCATGTTGCAACATTTGACATAAATCAGTCTCAGCTTTCTTTAGGATTGATGGCTTGTGACAGTTTTAGTTGGATCCACCTCAGGTTATAAAGATGCATATGAGGGTGGGTGCAGACCATCTTTGGTCCAGTTCAACCTTCCTTGATCTCTCTGCTGATCATTCTTCTTTTCCTTTCTGCACTTTTTTGATATCGCAAGTTTCCCGAACACCTTGGTATGGTTGCAATTGTTCAGAAAACGTTGTTTTACATAACTGCCAGAAATATAAATGACAGGCGCAAAACTGTTTAAATAAATAATAAATTTATTTAAGTTGTGGGTAAAATTTCTTGCATCATTCTTTGCATTGTTTTTTATGTATGTATCTAGTCCTCAGCAATCCAGGATTGTACTTTAATGTGGGTGGATAGACAAATTGGAGCAAGATGAGAAGTGCACATTGGTCCAAACATCAAGAGAATGGTAACTAAAAATTTCTACCCACCCGGTTTGCAAATTAAAAAGTGCAGTAACATTTTAAAACCATGCACAACATCTTAAACACTGTTATTTCAGTGAAGTTTTCACTGCATAAATCCTTAAGAAATTTTGAGCATGTGTAAATGATGATGTAAGGTACATCATTGATATTAAAATACAGCAAGCACCCCGTCAGCTTCCTACTGGAATTGCATGTGATAAGACCATCCGGGTAGAAGTCTGCTGTTATGGAGATCCATTTCTTTTTCTTATCAATTAGATATGAATTATGCCATGAAGTTGGCGATAGAAAAAGCTTGGAATGAGCATTTATTTCTCTGTTTTCTTGTCAAACACTTATTTAACTTGCATTACAACCTATCTGATATCAAAAAAGGCTTATGTTAAACATATAAATACTAGTTATTTCTTACCTGTGATGCCCTTTGGATTTTCCTCAAGACTCTGATAAGGAACACCTTTCAATTCATAACCTGTTTTATTAAAACAGGTTCTGAGTTACAAGAAAAATAACATAACCAAACTAAATTAAATTTGCCTTGAACATACAGCCAGATTGTAATTTCTCCTCCCACTTTGGAAATTTTTCCATCGATCAATGCATTTGTGCATATTATGTACAGATTAGTTAATATTAACAATTGTTAAAATCTATCTCAGACCAACAGTGCTGAGTTGAATGATGAATTTTATGTGTTTTGCACTCAAACTGTTGACATTATTTTGGAATCATGATACTTTTTTCTTTTAGTCTCTTCCATCTATAGTACTTAACATTTTCTAGTTAACATACCGGATAATTTAGAATCTCTCAAAAAATTGCCTGTGCAGTTCTTGAGCTGTTTTCCTGGAAGTGTGCAAGGTAGCTGTGTGAGATTAAATACAGGGTAAACATCTGAAAAGATGGGGTAGGGAAAGGGGCTCATCCCAGACTGTGACATGCAGGCAATATTTTGTTGTTGGATCATCTTTCACTCTTTTTTTAAAGTTAAAAATCATGACTGTAGGATCTGCACTGAATAAACTGGACTTTTTTTCCCGTTGTTCTTTCATGGGATGTTGCCATTATTGGCAAGGCCAAATTTTGCTGTCCATCTATATTTGACTTTGAGCTGTTTGGTTTTCTCGGCCATTACTGTGGCCACAATGCTCTAGTTCTGGAATCACATGCAGGTCAGACAAGGTAAGGACTGCAGAGTACCCTCCCTAACAGATACAAGTGAACCAGATGAGTTTTTGATAACAATGCATGAAAGTTTCATAGTCATTCCCATTGAGACTCACGTTATGTATCAAATTTTATTCATCGTACTCAGCTTCCACCAACTGCTGTGGTGAGGTTTTACCTCATGTCCCAAGAGTACTATCCTGGGTTTCTGAATTATTAGCCCAGTGACATTCATGTTATGCCACCATCTCCCCATTTCATTGCCCACAATGTAGAAGTAATAAGTGAATTCTCATTGCATTTTTCTATGCATCTTAAGCGTATGAAGTGTGTCATTAATTTTCTTTTCCTCGCTGGCAAGTTTATCTATCCGTTTGCTGCTGTTCTGAGATCAACAAGTATGTCAAAGACTTTCTGCCTGGTTTATCTACTCCATTGGGAAACCTACTGAACCATTGAGAAATCATTTTGTAGGATTTGGTCTGTAGAAAATGCAATAAAAAAGAATACAGTTTCATAAACTCCCGAAGATTACTTTTTGTGCAATCATGTTTGGTTATTTTCCTTGTTTCAAAGAAATATGACCAGTCTTTTGTTCAGGGAAAGTCATGGGGAAGATCGGTCTCTAAGGATGAAGTGTCAAGTTTCACACTCTTCCAGGCACCAAATCCGGTGCCGGCTCTGAAGGGGATAGTAATGCCAGAAAGCTCTGCACATAATGGAATACCTGCCACCCTCAGAAAATCCAGAGACAGCCCAAGATAGACGACCTCAGAGGGTGAGGCCTCTCCCAGTACTGCTGTAGGGGACAGAGATGAGGACTATGTGTGAAATGGAAACATCAGACAAATAGTTGTACAAGATATTCGAGTACAATAGAATTCTACCACCACAGCTAAGTGTGAGATCTAGCCTCTGCAGCATTGTTGTAATGTCTCATGTGATTTGTACTTGTTTGAAATTGTCTGAAGAAATGTGAATGAGAACATTTAGATTTTCAAATTCGCTGCTCAAATTCATTGATAACAGAAGCCATTCTAGGCCACGTTGGCAAGGATAGGTTGGCGTAATAAGACAGGTTAAGAGAAAAACAGAATGTGGATGATTACATCCATCATTACTCTTGTCCATCCAGACTAGTGTCACCACCTTCAAGTATGCTGCTGTGGAGCTTGCACAGCAGTGTGGCAAAGCTTAGATGTCTGCCATACAGTCTTGAGGCTCCACGGTGAAGATATTGGTGGATCAAATAATTAGATTCTTTGAGGGAGTCAGTCACCTTCTGCATTCTACTCTCCTGTAGATCAGGGTAAGTGATGAACTGTATTATCATGGGAATGGAAATGGTGACATGGGGCACAGGAACTGCTAACCTGTCTTAGGTTGTGAGCACATCTGCACATTCACCCTCACTACTTACAAACAGCTGACTTGCAGCAGATTGCAGCCAGTTTCTCACAGACTTCACCACCCAGCATTCACAAGCATGGGAATGTTAAAGGTCTCACATGATGATCAGCAACCTTTCTTCACCTCTGGTCAGGCCAATGAGGGGAAACTAGTTGAAAAATTAGGAAAGCTCCTTTCAATAAGCATTGTGTGTTGATCACATGACTGAGAAATAAATAGAACATATTTATTATGTTTGATATTAAATTATTCAGCTTTATCAACACACAAGTAATATACCTTCTGTAATATACTCAGATATCCTCAGCTTGTGAAATTTTTGTTTTAGGAAGCAAGGGATGTTTTTTGTGACAGGAACAAAAACAAAGTTGCTGGAAAAGTTCAGC